ACAGCGCCCACCTGTGGTAATCACAGGATAAAACAGACAAAACCCAGAAACATCTGACTGACTGACATCAACTATTAGGGCCTTATTTTAACGATCTGAAACGCAAGTATCAAGTTGTGGGCGGGTCCTATTTTACCGGCGGGATATGACTCTTGCGCGCGACGGAAGTTTAAAGGGTTAGTTCACCCAAAAATGAAAATTATGTCATTAATTACTCAACCCCATGCTGGACCAACCCCGTAAAATGTTCGTTCATCTTCGGAACACAAATGAAGATATTTTTGATTAAATCTGAGAGGTGGATCACTGCTAGCTGCCTAATAAGGGATTGAAACTTGACGGCCCAGAAAGTCAATGAAGAAAATGTTTAAATATGTGACTCAACTAAAAGTTTATCAAGCGACGAGAATACTTTTTCTGTGAAAAAACAAACAAAAATAACGACTTCATTCGACTATTCCTTTTCTTCCTTCCGGGCCTGAGACGAGAGTTCAAGAGATTTCCATGACGCACGCACAAGAATTGAACTTAAGTTGAAGATGATCACAATTCTCGCGCACGCGTCGTGGAAATCTCTTGAACTCGCATCTTAGAGACACAGAGATTTTGGAAGTTTTACCTTTCACTGTGAAGATAAATATCGAAATCGTCTTCCATTGCGATTTCCTGTATATGTTTAGATCTTCACAGTGAAAGGTAAAACTTCCGAAATCTCTGTGTAAACAATGAGTGACGTACACGTGCAAGAGATCACTTCCGGAGCATTTGCAGACCGAAGCGCCCGCGCCCTCAGATCACTTGGATGTGGCTGTGGTTACAAGAGGTAAAAACGATATAAATACTGTTCGTTTTCTCACACAAACCGCTCGTTTCGTGTCTGAGGCCATCAATGTGTACTTACATTTACGAGTCATTAAATCATGTTTAATTTGGACTTCTCTGTGCATGCTCTTTGAGGTGAACCCCATAGACCTCCATTATATGACTGACAGACAAGAACGGTTTGACCTAAAAATATCAAAATTGAAAATACTGTGGAAACAAAGACACCTACACAGTGGCGGCTGGTGAAAATTATTGTAGGGGGGGCTGAATAAGAGGGGAAAATTTTGAATTTAGTAGATGTGATTTCCTGCATTCTGGTGCATTTTAGGCCTTAGCCCTTACCTATACCAATAAAATAACTTAAACCAGTCAATACCAATGGTCAAATAATACAATAATAATAATAACAGTTTGACAGTTAATGATAATGAACAAGTTGCATGTTTATTATGCTCTGTTTGCTGACAGAAAAAGTGCAAACGCATAATATTGATAAATTATAATATAGGTAATACAAAAAATAATAGGTAATACAACAATCTAGTTTAATCAATCCCCAGCTGTAGACTACATATTTTTGACAAATTGACAATTGGATAACGGATAACAATGTGTTGATACTAGAGAAAGAGAGAGAGAAAAGGCTCTGAAAGAGAGGGTGGGACAACATTCTTGATTGTAACACCCAAGTATGAGAAGAAAGTTGATTTTAACTAGAATGAAACACAGTAATCTAGCTCAGAACTTAAAAACATCAAAAAACAAAGCAAACACACAGGTATTAATATTCCTATAACTATTTTTATATCAAATGTGTGTGAAACAGTGTTTATGTGCGTGTGTGTGAGTGAGTGAGTGACAGAGACAGACAGGTCAATTCCCACGACTAACTTTACATTATTTCCACTCGACGTCACTGGCGCTGCCATTCTGCTCTCATCTGAGGTAAAAAAAAATGGTGCACTCCCCTAATCTGATACTGTGGGCGATATTTTCAGCGCCCCCAAACCATAAAATTTGACGGCGAAATATAAACTTTTTTGCATAGCAACCGGGGAACCATTGGCTTAAATTCCAGCACTGTGGGGCTGAGCGAACTGGCGCCCTGAGAAGACAGCCTATTGGCTATACTACTACACCAACATGATAAAAGTAACGAAAGTGAATGCAAATATCATTCTGGTGAGTTCAAAACACTTTTCAAAGTAAAACCATTATTAGCATATAATTAACACAGATTATTTTTCAAAATGATAAATTATAATATATATTAAAAAAACAGACAGACAGGTCGGAGGGAGGGCGGCGCCCCAGCGCCCTCTATGGGCGAGCCGCCCCTGCACCTACATCTTGGATGTCCTTGAGGTAAGCTAAAACATATCAAACATTTCAAAGTGAACTATCCCTTTAAGATCTTAATTTTTGTTCTAAAGATGAGTAAAAGTCTTGCATGTTTGGAACATCAGGAGGTCGAGTAATTTATGACATTTTCATTTTGGGAACAAAACTGAAAATGTCATTTTTGCCACTCTGCTTCAACAGAGGCTCCAGAGTCAGGTGCCTACCATATGTACGCATGGGGGTCAGCTCATGGCAATGCTCTGGCTCAGTGTTGTAGTCGAGACCACCTCACTCGAGTCCGAGTCGACACCGAGACCAGAGAGAGTCGAGTCCGAGTCAAGACCGAGTCCATAGAGAGTCGAGTCCGAGTCGAGACCGAGACCAGTGAGGGTTGATTACCTAATTTACTTTTATTTACTTAGAGAAAACCTTTTTTTTTTTTTTTTTTACTGAATTTACTTAGAGTTTAAAAAATATGATCAGTTTAGGGTAAAAAGGCCACATAGTAGGTGGTGTTAAAAGTAATTTAATTACAATTTGTCATGCGTAGTTGCGCACTAGAAAATCACCAATCACTGGGCGTGTCAATCAATTTAAAGAAATATATTTTATTAACATACATTAACAATCATGAAAAATATTTTTAATTGAACTCGAGTGGACTCGGGAATAATTCCGAGTCCTAAAAAAAAAATGTTCGAGTACGAGTCAATTCCGAGTCCAAATGGACACGAGTCCATAACAAGACCAATATGGTCTCGAGACCGAGTCCGAGACGAGTCCGAGTCTCGAGTACTACAACACTGCTCTGGCTTCAGGGGAGCATACTTTGACAAAAGAAAAAGTGAAGCTAAAGCTTCCCGCTCGATTCGAGCCATAGTAGTGTGAGGTAGGATAATACAGAACTGAAAGTGAAGTACTCAGACCTACCCTGTATCAGGGGAAACACTCCCACCTCACCCTGAGGTTTACCAGGGTGTGGGCCTGCCTGCAGCTGTAGGGGTGACAAAAAATGTATCTGTGACCAACCTCGGGGAGTGGGGCTTGTTTGTGAGCCAAACCACCAACAACCCAAGGTAAGTGAAGCCTAAACTGGCGCATGCTAGTTCATCCATATGCTAGTTCTGCATGGCAGGGTCGGGCAGACAAACCTTGCTCAATAAATACTCATTGTACAGTGGAGGCCTATATGAGGCATAACCCAGGATCTTTATAAACCATGCCTCATTACTCTTATCGCCTCAGAATGCAGAGAAGGGGGCAGGCCTTGGCCTAATGACTCCCATGGGAGGAGGTTGTCATACAGGGATGCTTTCTTGAAACCTACATTCACAAAGTAAAGGTTCAGAAGAAGAAATGCTTAAGCAGAGCGCCTCCACTATCCCTTGCACAGCCTAGACAGCCCGTTCTCATCCTTTAACGTCATATAGAGCGCTATATGCAAAAACGGCGCTATACTACGCACATGGCACCCTTTATCGTTAATATAACACGCAAACCCAAAACGTTATAAATCCTTTAGCGTGAATATGACACGCACACCCTACCCCACACCTAAACTTAGCCCTCACAGCGCGTGTTATATTAACGATAACGGGTGCCATGTGCGTAGTATAGCGCCGTTTTGTCATATAGCGTTCTATATGACGCTAAAAGATGAGAATGCGTTGGCCTAGACCAGCCAGAGGCCTGTAAGCAAAGATCTACCTCGACTACCTGAGAGCTTGGAGGAGCCACAGCCTTACTAGAAAAATTGACGTAATTTGATTGTGATTTTAGACACCTGAAGGCGTTCCCTTCAGGGTCATTCGACGAAGTGCGAGTTCCCTTTCGAAATACAATTAATTATTTACTGTAGTGTTTCATAATTAAAACGAGAGAACTAGAGTGAGAGAACTTCAAAAATGGAGGGGAAGGACATGAGCTTTATTAAATTATTAACACCACACATCAACAATCATTAACAATATTCTTGAAAACATACGTCCTGAAAGCATTCTGTCAGTTATAGACAGGCCTGACTTGAAGTTTATATGTTTTTTTGGAGTCGTATTAAAAGGATTGAGAAAGAAAAAAAGAAAGAAAGAAAATTATTACTGTCATGTTATTATTACTGGCTTAAGTCAAACACACAAGAATTGGTTTAAAGAAGAAGTACATAGAGTAAATTAAAAGTGTTGTCAAATTTGTCTAACATAGAAAGTAAATGTCTGGCTTTGGAGATTGTCCATCGCCTCACACAATTTTTAAGGCGTGAATATGGAGTGATGTTTTTCAGGATCTGCAACTTTGATAATCTCACAACATAGTGGGTATAACAGTTTTATATTGTGATCTGAATGATGTTCAATACATCATCTTTGTTCAATCATAGAATTTTCATCCATTGCTGAAGAGACATATGTCATACTGCTTTACTGACTGCGATTACTTCCAGTAGATTGTTTCTTTTTCCACACATAGATAAGTAATGTGACGATTATAAGAAGCAGTGCACCAGCCGCTGCAAAACTGAGAATGTAGTTTAGAGATATGCCTAAGGAAAAAGCAAAATAGGTTCAGGTAAGTATTAAGTAATATAAAACTTAAAATCTTTAGCACAACATTCATTTTGTGGTTAAATGACTGAACAGTAATATATCACATAATTAAAAGCTTGTTCTAAGAGCTATTGTTAATATCTAATGGACAATATCATCATACTTTCTTTCATTTTCTTCAAGTGGACCATCAGTAATGTAATACTTATTGTTTTATTTAATTTGGAAAATCCAGCACAGCACCTTCAAACTGAGTCACTTACAATGGAAAATGTTACAAAAATGAACAGTTACCTTGTATGGACACTTTTACACGTCTGATGGTGGTGCCAGCTGAGTTGCTCGCAATGCAGTGCAGATCCTCAGGTGTTGATTCTGTTATAGTAAGAGTTTCACTATAAACTATATCAGTTGTGCTGAGATTCCAGCTGATTATTGGTGTTGGGTTTCCCTCGGCTTCACAAACAATCTCCACTGGATATCCTCGAAACACAGGCACTATGGAGGGCAGTTTGTTCTCATTGATGATCGGTCCATCTGCAGGAAGGAGTGAAAGAAAAACAGTTTTTGCTGCAAAAATGGTTTTGCATTGCATACATGGTATCATACATTTCTTATGTTAATCTACATTTTAATTTAGTAGTTTTCAGCTAAATTGATCAAATTTTGAAAATTCACAAGAAAAAGTTACACTGTATCTGATCCCTATCCCCACACAACTTGTTGCATAGTAAGTGCTAAAATATGCTTGATTTGGACAACAGATGTTCTCAAAAGATTAATAATAGAAAACTGACAGATCTTACTTACAATATACAATAATGTTGAGAGGATCTGATGTGACTTCAGGAGGAGGTTGAGGTCCTTCTTCTCCCAGTTCCAGCTTTGCTTCACACCAGTACTGATCTCCATCATCAGCTCCGTCTGGACGGATCAGGAGTTTAGATGTTTTACTGACTGGAGTCTTGATGGTGTCAGTGAAGATGGTTTGATCCACCAGAGTCTGTCCTTTGTACCAGTTGATAATGAGATTCTGAACAGGAGCCACATTGAGAACGTCACACTGGAGCTCATACTGGTTTCCCTCCATCATTGGTCCGGTGTGATTCACAGTGCTGATGGACACACTGTCTGGAGTCTCTGTGGAGGAAGATTTACACTCTCTGATATCTGCAGTCATCAATGTACAGTAGATATTTCTGAGAATATAAAAGTATCAATAACAGAGAAACTCACTGTAAATTGTCACTGGGAGAGGTACTGTACACTGTCCCTTATAGTTTATGTAGCAGCTTGGCTCTGTGTCCCATTCTCTCAGTTCTGACACTCTCCATGTGATCAGACTGTCTCTGCTCATGGGCACTGCTCCCTCACTGGCTTCCCATCCCAATCCTGTATGCGGGACAGAAGTGCTGCAGTCGGCTGAAACAGGACCGCCGAACTCCACAATAACTCTCTGTGGGTTGAGCTGAACTGGACATTCATCAGCATATGAACCTGTTAAACACATTGAGAAGGATGCGATTTGAAACTGATGAATATTCAGCACAGAATAGCAGCACTAAAGTGTTAGATTACAAGCAGACACAGAAATAACTTTCCAAGAGTCATTAAGACCTGCAAACTGATCACTGGTCCACAGTCCTCTAGACTAGAGTTTTGTATTTTATAGAGTTGGGACCATGACGTCTTAAAAGCTAGTGAAAAATGTTTATTGTCATATTGCATTACATATTGTCATTTTGTTGTCTATTGCAAAAAAAAAAAAAAAAAAAAGCTTTACTAATTCAGTAGAAAGGCATCTTTTGGCAGGACTCAAAACTTGTTTACTGAACGCAAATTAATTGAACATTCCCAACTTCATTTAGCCTACAATAAAGTAAAAGCTAAAGTTTAAAACATATTTGGTCTCATTCCAGATGCAGGAATAATAAAATACAGAATTAAGTCAACATACAAACCTGTGAAAGTCAAAAGCTGTGAAACTGCCAAGAGATAAAAAAGTCCAAAGAAATGTTGAAGCATTTTGAAAAACAATTGATCAGAAAATACTGTAAATAAGAAAAAAAAAACGTTATCACTGTAACGCAGGTTGCAAAGTCTGTGACTGGATAGCAGTAGCTCGAGAAACGCAATAGTGAAACAAAAAAACAACAAACCCCACCCATCATATATTTTGAGAGGAAATTTCACTAGGTTGACCTCAGGAAGATTACGTGTTAATGCACGACTGCAAAACATACTCAGGAACAAAATGAAATCTAGAAATAACCTGAACCCTTGCAATGAGTATTATCATCATACAAAAACAACATAAAAAAAAACAAATATTAAGTTTCTCTGAAAAAAAAAAAAAAACAGTTTCCAAAGAGTTCTTGGCCTGAAAAAAAAGGTTCTGTTTAATTGCACACCTGTGGTAATCACAGGATAAAACAGACAAAACCCAGAAACATCTGACTGACTGACATCAACTATAGACCTTTTTCACAAAAACCGGAAATACGTAATCGTTGTGGAAACGGAGTTCCCGTCAACTGTTAACACATCAGAAAAACCTACTCTGGGAGGAGAAAATTGATCAGAGAGTCTTCAAAACTTCGAAAAAATGTAAACTTGTCATGGTACTGTTGTTGATGACTTTGTAAAATGCTGTGGTGATGCTTGTCTGCAGCTGATGTATCTAAGACCAAAGATGTGATATTGATTTTAGAACTGAAGCTCATTCTTCCCAATATACGTTCATTAAAGGTAAGAAGGTGGAGTGTGTGGAAAGTTATTAATATTTAGGGAGTATTATTTACAATAAACTACATTTTGATGTGAATACCAGAAAGAAGTCTGTCAGTTTTATTCAACAGTTATCCTGATTTTTTTGCACTGCTGTTGATAGAACGATCAAAGATGAAGAAAAATTATACAAATATTAATTTATTCCTTGTACACTCAGATTGTTAAATACTCAGAATGGTATATATTAATATTTTAAATGTATATGTAGCCCACTGTTGTGTGTTCTTATTTATCTTGTTTTATATTGTGGTGTATATTTTATGTGCTTATTCCGCTGGATACAAATATCTTAATACAGTTGAACATGAACTAACGTTACTTCAAAAATACGCAAATCATAAAACATAAAAAATAAACAAACAATGACGGCTTATTAGTGAATGGTGACATGAGAAGTACAGAAGATCACAGGATCAATAACATCCCGCCAGATTGCCTGAATCCATTTCCGTCGAACTTCATCGACAGGGAACTGACGAGGGAAGGAATGAAAACGACAGGTATGGCTGCTTTTGGGAATAACAAAAAAGATCGGTACGAAACAACTCTCACTAGTTGCCTTTGGCGCTATCTTTTATGAATGGAGCGGAAGAAGATTACCACGACAATTGCGTATTTCCGGTCACAAATACGGAAGTTGTGAGAAAGGTCTATTAGGGTCTTATTTTAACGATCTGAAACACAAGTATCAAGTTGTGGGCGGGTCCTATTTTACCGGCGGGATATGACTCTTGCGCGCAACGGAAGTTTAAAGGGATAGTTCACCCAAAAATGAAAATTATGTCATTAATTACTCACCCCCTTGCTGTACCAACCCCGTAAGATCTTCGTTCATCTTCGGAACACAAATGAAGATATTTTTGATTAAATCTGAGAGGTGGATCACTGCTACATAGGCTGCCTAAGGGATTGAAACTTGACGGCCCAGAAAGTCAATTAAGAAAATGTTTAAATATTCCATGTGACTCAACTAAAAGTTTATCAAGCGACGAGAATACTTTTTCTGTGAAAACACAAGCAAAAATAACGACTTCATTCGACTATTTCTTTTCTTCCTTCCGGGCCTGAGACGAGAGTTCAAGAGATTTCCATGACGCACGCACGAGAACTGAACTTAAGTTGAAGATCACAATTCTCAAGCACGCGTCGTGGAAATCTCTTGAACTCTCGTCTTAGAGACACCGAGATTTTGGAAGTTTTACCTTTCACTGTGAAGATAAATATCGAAATCGTCTTCCAGGTAACACTTTAGAATACGGTTCCTTCGTTAATGAATAACTACACAAGAACTAATGAGTAACACAATATTAACAATCTAGTAACTATTATTAACTAACAAGAAACTCTGATTAACGGACTAGTAAGTAATAGCGCACAGACGAAAGTGCTAGTTCACTATTAAGTAATCAATAACTACTATTTTTTTAATACTTCCCAGAGAACTACTGAAAAAGTTTATTAACAATCTAGTAACTACTATTAACTAAAATAAACTCTTATTAATGAATTAGTAAGTAATAGCTCACAGATGAAAGTGTTACTAGATACTTCTGTGGGAGTTACTAATTATTTGGATTCGTATTATAAAGTGAAGATCATTGGAACTAACTAGTAATTACTCAAGTATTACTAAAGACATTTTCTAAAAGTGACTAAAGTTCACCAAAAAACTCAAACATTTGCACAAATCATGACTAGATCATGTAGTAACACTTGAGTAATTACTAGTTAGTTCTAATGATCTTCACTTTATAATACGGATCCAAATAATTAGTAATTCCCACAGAAGTATCTAGTAACACTTTCATCTGTGAGCTATTACTTACTAATTCGTTAATAAGAGTTTATTTTAGTTAATAGTAGTTCCTAGATTATTAATACACTTTTTCAGTAGTTCTCTGGGAAGTATTAAAAAAATAGTAGTTATTGATTACTTAATAGTGAACTACCACTTTCGTCTGTGCGCTATTACTTACTAGTTCGTTAATCAGAGTTTCTTGTTAGTTAATAATAGTTACTAGATTGTTAATATTGTGTTACTCATTAGTTCTTGTGTAGTTATTCATTAACGAAGGAACCGTATTCTAAAGTGTTACCGTCTTCCATTGCGATTTCCTCTATATCTGTTTAGATCTTCACAGTGAAAGGTAAAACTTCCGAAATCTCTGTGTAAACAATGAGTGACGTACACGTGCAAGAGATCACTTCCGGAGCATTTGCAGACCGAAGCGCCCGCGCCCTCAGATCACTTGGACGTGGCTGTAGTTACAAGAGGTAAAAACGATATAAATACTGTTCGTTTTCTCACACAAACCGCTTGTTTCGTGTCTGAGGCCATCAATGTGTACTTACATTTACGAGTCATTAAATCCTGTTTAATTTGGACTTCTCTGTGCATGCTCTTTGAGGTGAACCCCATAGACCTCCATTATATGACTGACAGACAGGAACAGTTTGACCTAAAAATATCAAAATTGAAAATATTGTGGAAACAAAGACACCTACATCTTGGATGTCCTTGAGGTAAGCTAAAACATATCAAAAATTTCAAAGTGAACTATCCCTTTAAGATCTTAATTTTTGTTCTAAAGATGAGTAAAAGTCTTGCATGTTTGGAACATCAGCAGGTTGAGTAATTTATGACATTTTCATTTTGGGAACAAAAATGAAAATGTCATTTTTGCCACTCTGCTTCAACAGAGGCTCCAGAGTCAGGTGCCTACCATATGTACGCATGGGGGTCAGCTCATGGCAGTGCTCTGGCTTCAGGGCAGCATACTTTGACAAAAGAAAAAGTGAAGCTAAAGCTTCCCGCTCGATTCGAGCCATAGTAAAAAAAAAACAAGTGAAACAACAAATTCAGAAAGAAAAAAGAAAGAAAAATATAAAGAAAAAACACAAAAGAAAGAAACAAATACACGCGCTCAAAATTCACGCTCTCACACACGCTCCACAAACGCCCACGCATGCGCAGAGAGAGAGAGAGAGAGAGAGAGAGAGAGAGAGAGAAATGTGAGTTTTAACAAACTTTTAATACAATTACATTTCACAGTATATCATATATGCATAAATATTAAGATTAACCCCAACTCACAAGAAATGTGCAAAATATTTAAATCACCTTCAAATACACACACAATGCCTCATTGCAACACCAAATAGCTTCAGAAGTGATCAGATCATCCATACGCCTGCAATGAGCAAAATCAAGTTTTTTCATAGTAGTGTGAGGTAGGATAATACAGAACTGAAAGTGAAGTACTCAGACCTACCCTGTATCAGGGGAAACACTCCCACCTCACCCTGAGGTTTACCAGGGTGTGGGCCTGCCTGCAGCTGTAGGGGTGACAAAAAATGTATCTGTGACCAACCTCGGGGAGTGGGGCTTGTTTGTGAGCCAAACCACCAACAACCCAAGGTAAGTGAAGCCTAAACTGGCGCATGCTAGTTCATCCATATGCTAGTTCTGCATGGCAGGGTCGGGCAGACAAACCT